TCCCTCCGCGCGGCTCCGCCCTGACCCTGGCGCCCACGTCCACCTCCCTCGCCCCCACTCCCCGGACCTCTGGCGGCTGGAAATGTGCCAAGCACAGTCGGATGGCGCTGACTGTTTGAGGGGACCGTGGCACACGAAGTCTAAATGCGTAAAGGACTCAGCCCCCGCGCTGGAAACCATCAGGAGAAGAATGGTGACAAGGACAGGCACGTGTCCCCTGACTTTAAAACACCCGCGGCCTCTGGCTCACTGCCCGTGTCTTCGGTCAGCGCGTGGTTCAAAGGCCCCCGAACGGCCAGCTGGGAGCGTGCCGGTCCACAGCCCACAAAGTTGCGGGCGGCTCGGGAGCCATCACCTAGGAACCCGGAGGTCGCGGGCCGGCTGTGGGCTGGATCCCCAGCAGGGGGCGCGCAGGAGGCAGCCGGTCAAGGATTCTCATCATTGATGGTTCTCTTTCTCCCCTCCCTTCCTCTCTGAAATCAATTAAATATATATATATATATATATTAAAAGTTACATTCAAGTAAACTGCACTGGGTAACGTATAAAGCACAGTTCATAATGGTGTTGTTTGTTTCCAGAACTGAAAAGCTGGGAGAGAAAATGTGAAATGGTGAGCACGCGGAGGGTAGAATCTAACTGTTACTGTAGTTAAAAACCCGCAGAGCTGGGGAAGCACCGGCGACTTTCCAGGGGTGTCATGGAGCCCACTTGGTCAGACGTCATCCGTCCCTGCTCATCGTATGGTCCGTTTGGGATGGTGTGGGGACTTCATGCATGTCGGTGTTGTTGGACTGTTTTTTATTTCAACATCCCGAAGGAGATGATGCCTACTTTAGGGGAAATAGTGACGGCCCAGAGCCGGCGACCACCCTTTCACCCGTTTAGGTCAGATCGCTCCGGCTCTCCTGCTACATGGTCGGCTGGTATGTGTGGCACCGAATGCAGACTGTACCTGCGCCATCCAGGTGGGGGCACCAGCCCGTCGTGGCTATTGAGCAGGAGTGGACGAGTCGCCTGAGGTGGTGGTGTGTTTTGTTTCATCCATACCCAAGGGTATTTTCCCATTGGTTTTTAGAGAGAGGGAAAGACAGAGAGAAACATGGATGTGAGAGAAACACACGGATTGGTTGCCTCCTGCAGAGCCCAGACCAGGGCCTGCAACCGAGGTGCGTACTCTTGATCGGAATCGAACCCGGGACCCTTGGGTCTGCAGGCCGATGCTCTATCCGCTGAGCCAACCGGCTAGGGCTGGCCTGAGGTTCTGAGGGCTCTTCTTCCCTGGGTTCGCCTCAGCACCTGTCCTCAGAACAGAGCATCCGGGGCAGGTGCTGGCACTCACTGTAAGGAGGCCCACGTGGGAGGAGGTCCCGTCCCGCCCCCTTTCCCCGGTTCTTTTCGCCTCTGGCCGCCGGGCAGCAGCCTGATGTCTGGCAAATGGCACAAACCACAAGCATTTTCCCAGAAAGTGTTGTGCTTGCGACTGCCTCTCGCGGAGGCCCGGGCTTGCCAAGAGCAGGGCTGGGGGAAGGAATGCCCTTGAAGAGAAGAGCCAGGAGGGATCCCATCGGGACACAGAGCAGACTGAGGACTGCGGGCCCCTGTGCCGCGCGCACAGACATGTCTGTTGTGGCTTCTGCGAGGGAGGCACACTGTTACCAGCTCTGTACCCAAGGGCCGGGAGCCTTCCTGTAAAGGGATGGAGAGTAAATAGGTTAGGCTTTCTCTGTTGTATATGGTTTGTTTTTACAGCCCCTAAAAACATAAAAGCCATTGTTAGCCTCTCTCTCTCCATCCTTTGCTGACCTTCATTCTACATAGTTGACATTTTTTTTCCCTTTTTTATTATCCATAGTTGACATTCTTAAGCTGACGGGAAAAGGGGGAATCAATCTAAGTTGCTTCTCCCCATTCCAAGAAACGCTATTTTCTTGTAAGAGACTTGATAAACAATCTTGAAACGGGTGCATGAAAGGACCATTTTTCTCCCTTCCCGAGTGGCAAAGAGAAGTGAGTTCTGTGTGCAAGACAAGTGCTAGGCAACCGGCTTATGAGGGAGCCATGGCCGGTGCCCTCAGGTGACGGGAGGACGAGGGGAGGAACGAGGACCTGGGACATCTGGCCCTCTCAGGAGGAGGGATGGTGCAGTTGGTGAGGTCTAAGGGCGGGGTCAGGAGCAGCTGCGTGGCGAGGGGGACCCCGTGCACAATGAAAATGCGGGTCTCGTGTTAAAAATGGTGAATAATTTCGAGATGGTGACAGCAGAGCAGGACAGCAGCACAGGCCCTTCCAGCCACACTCGGGGCACGTTCTCCAAGCAGGCCCGGCCCCGCCCCACCCAGGGAGGTTCTCTAGGAGGCACGCAGGATACAGCCACAGACAGGCTCTACACCAGGCACTGCCTCGCCTCCGCAGGACACCATTCAGGCTCAGGCCGCGGGAGGCAGCACCGCCCAGAGTGCAGTGCGTATTGACAGATTAGAGAAAAAAGGTGCCGACTCGCCTGAGGGCACAAGGAAGGGCCTGGAGAGAAGAGCGCCTGCGGGGAGCTCTGCCTCTCAGTTCAGGATCCAGGGGGATTAATGGCACCTCCTCTGGGAGGGGACCCAGGGCTGCGAGAGGGACTTCCTTCAGTCCCCGCACCCTGCCCTGCGGGAAAGGGCTTTGCAAAGTAACCTCTTAATTGAAAACGAAGCTGGAGAAGCGGCCTGCTCTGCTGCTTCCCTGGAGTTAGCACCAGTGGGAAGAGGTGACAGCGGCAAGAAAAAGAACCGATTGGTTTTCTTCATCTTCTCTGTAAAGCAATGTCTAGTCCTCTGGGGAGTTTTAACAAAGAGAAGATTGAAGCCCAATAGGAGAGGGTTAAGAGCATTGACACGGGGACAGTGGGGACAGTGGGGACGGTGGGGACAGTGGACTTTGATGAGCTTGAATGTGGAGCCACACGTGGCTGCAACGGAAGCTCGGGACACGGGCCTGCCTCTGGCTCTGCTGACCTCCAGCTGCCCCTCCTTCAGGACTGGCGTCGGGAAGTGGGACCTTGCAAATAAAGCCTTCCACATCCCGCCCCCCATGCAACTCCCAGAAAGCTCATTTTCTGAAGATATTGCAAGAACCTCGCTCCTACGAGTGACAGGGGAATTTAATTCTCCCGTAACACTCCAACTTTCCAACTTTACACACATTTAAGGTTTTCTGCAGGGTGAAATCTAACCAACTGAGCTACCTGGGCAGGCCTGGTTTTTTGTTCATTTTTAAATTAAGAAAATTGGATCATTGAATCAAAATGCAGAAAATGTTAGCATGTAAGATTAGCATTAATAAGCAATGTGTGTTTATTATTGGAAAAGAGATTTTAAAGAAAGGAATTAGTCTAAAGCAAGATAGTTTCCCTTTTTTCCTAAATATGGTAAAACTGTAGATTTAACAGAAGTAAAACAACTGGTGTTACTAGGAAGTCGCAGGTGTGTTGGTTTTGCTCTTTGTTGGCTTTTAAAAATAAAGCAGCTGTCCTTTTTATTTTCCATCCCACGTTGCATACTGAGTGCTTTCAAATAGCTAGTTAAAGGATCCTGAGCAGAATATTGTAATAATAAAATAATCTTCATGGGGCTTCTTCCTTATGAATTCGCCAACATAATTAAGGAAAGAAGAATGAATAGTTAAAAAGATGCATTCCTTTCTCTATCCACAACATCCCTGGTCTCTCTCCCTCCTCCTGTAAGGACACCTGTCATGCTGGGTTCAGGCCCACCCTAATGAGCTCCTTGGACGTTAGTTTTGGAGGACAATTGATATTGAGGGGTGGGTCCCAATTCTTCTTTTGGCTCAAGGGTGAAAAGGTAACCTATTTTGATTTTACCAAGTGGAGAGCAGTAGGTGGGGACCCAACGGACTTCTAAAATGTTATCAGAGGGGAGCCCATGAGGAGTCTCTAGGCTCTGCTTTTGTCCAGCTTTGGCTTTTGCTGATTTCCTAATAACATGGCCGCGTTTTCAGCAGCACATTGTAGCTCTAATAAAAAGGAAATGAAGGCTCTCTGGTGCCAGGGACCTGCGATCCGGTGGCAAAAGCCCACAGTACCCTCCTCACATTTCCAGGACCTAGGCCTGCGGCCCGGGGGATCCTAATGCAAATCGTGTTCTGAAGGGAAGGGGGGACCCACGCTGCGGGATGGGCTGTTTTCCTCCCAAATCGCGGCAGCAGCGTTGCAAGGCATCCTTGACCTTGTACAGAGCTGGAGGGCCGCCTCGGCTGCTGCGCACGTGGCGAGGCGGGGACGGAGCCAGCGGGACCCGTACCCCGCCGCACAGACATCGGACATGCATTCCCGGCTGGGGGCTGCAGGGCACCGCAGGACAGACACCCCGAAGGACTCCCCGTCGGCGGGTTCGGAGTAAGAGCGTAACGAAAGGAAACGGGAATCGACCTCCACCCTCCCGACCTCCACTTCCCTCTCCTCCTTCGCCCCGCCCCATCCCCTACGCTCCGCCCCCTCTCGACCCTCGGGCCCCGCCCCGCGCCCTGCGCGCGCAGAAGAGGCGCACCAGATCCCGGAAAAGCGGTTCCATCCGGGTGCTCGGCCTGGGAAGGCATGGGGCGTGGCTTTATGACGACAGAGGGTGGGAGGGGCCAACTCCG